ACCTGTAGTCCCAGCTACTTAGGAGGCTGAGGCAGCAGGAGGATCACTTGAGCCCAGGCATTTGAGGTTGCTGTGAGCTATGATGACGCCATGGCACTCTAGCCTGGGCAACAGAGTAAAACCCTGTCTCGATGAAAAAAAGAGAGAGAGAGAGAGAAGAAAAAGAAAATAGTAACACGAAAGTTAAGGCAGGGTAAGTGAAATTAAAGTGTTCTAAGGTAACTGGATTACTTGAGAAAGTGGGAAGTGTACTAATTGATATTAGAGCCCAGTAAATCATGTATGGTTAAATATAATCTCTAGAGATTATTTAACATATAGAAATGAGAAAGAAATAATTTTTAAAACTGATCAATCCAAAAAGAGACAAGAAAGGAGAAAAAGGGAACATAGACCAGATGGGCCAATAGGAAAAAAAATAGAGTTAAACTCAAATATATCTGTCTACCAGTCATTACAAAAGACTGCAAGGAAAAGGTAAGGGACATGGGGACTTAGGGTACCACTGAGGTCTTACTGATGTGACGCCCTGGTATCCCAGCTGGCTCAGGATGGAAGGAGAGAGATGCTTGATGGATGGAGGGGAGACAGGGGGCAAGGGCTGGGGTACCCAGGACGTTCAGAACTTCCCAGAGGGAGCTGTCAAACCAGCACGGAGCTGTCAGAGTCAGAGTGGTGCTCTTGAATTAGAGTTAGTGATATGGGGGCAGAGAAGTTATGAGTCAGCAGTTTGGGGTGACATCTTACCTCCGATCCACGTGCCCTGCTTGGTACCCAGTAACCCTGGAAGAGAGGGTCCCAGTGAATGACCCCAGCCTGCGAGTGTGTGCAGTGAGAGCAAAGTGCCACGAGAGGGCAGCATTGGCCCACCAGTTCTGTGCACAGCGCCCCACCATCCAAGAGACTTACTGGGCCTGAAGGCACTGGGGTGATTAGCACCCTTCGTGAACAGAGTCTGTGCAAAATATTCAGGTTCTTCCTGATTGTTTAATCACCTGCAGGTCAGCAGACTCGGGTAAGGGGAGACAAGGGGAGCTTGCACGGCTCCACTCTTGGAAGATGGGGGTTTGTATGACCCTTTACCCCAAACCACTTTTTTTTTTTTGAGACAAAGTCTTGCTCTGTTACCTGGGCTAGAGTGCCGTGGCGTCAGCCTAGCTCACAGCAACCTCAAACTCCTGGGCTCGAGCAATCCTACTGCCACAGCCTCCCAAGTAGCTGGGACTACAGGCATGCACCACCATGCCCAGCTAATTTTTTCTATATATTTTTAGTTGTCCAGCTAATTTCTTTCTATTTTTAGTAGAGAAGGGGGGTCTCACTCTTGCTCAAGCTGATCTTGAACTCCTGATCTTGAGCGATCCTCCCACCTCGACCTCCCAGAGTGCTAGGATTACAGGCGTGAGCCACCAGGCCCAGCCCCAAACCACTTTTAACGGAGACCGTGAATGGGCTCTTGAAAGCAAAAGGGTATCAATTTGAATTTTGGCTCTGACACTTACTAGCTGTGTGACTCTGAGCAAGGTACTAACCTCTCTGAACCCCAGTTTCCTCATAAGCAAACTGAGGCTGACAGTTGTACCATGCGGTGGATTCAGTGAGATGTTTCCTGCAGTGGCAGAGCCAGAGTGGGAGCTCAGAGGCCCCAGGACTCACCTTCTTTAGCAGCAATTGGCACGATTATTGGTCACCTACTCTGTGGCTCGTAGAAGGCTATTAGTTTGGCATTATCACACCATTTCACAGATGAGGAAACTGAGGCTGACTTCCTAAGGACGCATGAACAGCAGCCACGCCCAGGTCTGTCTGGCTCCAGGGCCCGGTTCTGACCACCAAGCCAGTGGGCTCCCCTGTCAGGCCCCCCAGGCCAGCCCTTGGCATCACACCTTCCAGTTCCCTGGGGACAGGAGCAGGTCCCTCTGTAATAGCAGGGCGACTTCTGCCAGCTCTCGGAACCTTCCAGGGCATTCCAAACCAGCGAGGGACATGGTGCTTTCTGAAAGAAAAAGAGAGCTGTGAAATACCAACGCAGTGGAAAGTGCTTTGGATGTTTGGGCTTTTCCTCCCTTTCCCTTTCTTCCTGGCTTCCTTCCCTTCTCCTTCTTCTTCTCATCCTCCTCCTCTTCCTTTATCTTCTTCATGTGTGTTTGGGAATAAAGGTGCCTAATGGGTGTGTAGTACTTCACCATTTACAGATATTTTCCCTGACATTCTCCGACAATGCTTGCCATGCAGGTGGTGGTTGTCAACTCTGTGGCAATGCCCCACGTACCCTGGCCCCATCCCACATGCAGAGTTGGTGACCCTCAAGGCCACCCTCAAGGCCACTCCATTCCTAAGCACTGATGTGACTCGGGACATGTTACCCCAAACTATGACTACAGGAGACCAGAACATGCCACCCCAAAATATGCCTCTTTGGCACAAGGATTATTTTGAGCTGGTTATTTTGAGAACCTGCAGACACAGAAGAAGCTCTGACAACAAGAGCAAACGTTACCCTTTTGTAAGAGGAGTTTCTATCTATGGAAGAAATCTCCATCTGTCAGGGTGTCTCCATTTTTGCACCAGGAGGAAGATGGCACTACATTATCAATGGAGAAGGCACTGACCTAAGTCCGTGCAAACCTTCCCCTTGTCCACCTCCCCACGGCTGGCCTTCCCCGCCAAACTCAAAGCCATGAACTCAAAGCCATGTTTTTTGGAGATTTACTCATTTCTCTGAGTATCTCCCATGTAGACATGAAGTACGCATGTTATTAAACTTCTGTTTTTCTCTTGCTAGTCTTGTTTTTTGTTACCGTGGTCCATCCCAACTACAAACTCATGAAGGCTAGAAAAAATTATTTTTCCTCCCCTACAGCACTTATCAAAAGGGGCCTATGTGGCCCGTCCAGGACAAGTCCAGGCGAGGGACAGGAGCCCAGCCAGTCCTGGGGCCCACTCGCTCCAGTCCTGGGGCCCACTCGCTCCAGCCCCCACTCCCACCCCACCCTGATCCCAGCCCCAGAGCTTGGCTGCTGCCAAGTCAGCCTGGTATAAACAGTTGTACTCTGTCTCCTCCCCTGTCTTGACCCTGTCTCCCTCTTCTCTGATAATCTCTAAGGGTAGATGTTTTTGTTATCTTGTGACTGAAGTGCCTGCAGGGAAGAGATGTACTCAAGGTCACTCAGCTGGTCAGGGGCAGAGGTAGACTCAGGGCTCAGGGCTCTGATTCCCTTTCTCATGCTCTGCCTGTTTGCCACGTGGCATGGAAGAAACAGACTTGGCTCTGGGGCCTGCCACCCCATCACTGCCAGCTGAGTACTGTGAAAAGCTACTTTACCTCTTTGAGCCTTGGCTTCCTCATCTGTAAAATGGGGACAACAATCCCATTTCACTGGGTTGTGGGGATCAAATCACAGAACATTCATGAAAATGTCTTTTATATTTGAGGATGTGTTTTCAAATATAAGGAAGGCTAGAATTGGCCAGGCATGGTGGCCCACACCTGTAATCCTAGCACTCTGGGAGGCTGAGGTGGGAGGATCGCTCAAGGGCAGGAGTTCAAGACCAGCCTGAGCAAGAGTGAGACCCCTGTCTCTACTAAAAATAGAAACAAATTAGCTGGACAATTAAAAATATATAGAAAAAATTAGCCAGGCATAGTGGTGCATGCCTGTAGTACCAACTACTCGGAAAGCTAAGGCAGAAGGATTGCTTGAGCCCAGGAGTTTGGGGTTGCTATGAGCTAGGCTAACACCACAGCACTCTAGCCCAGGCAACAGAGCAAGACTGCCTCAAAAAAAAAAAGAAAAAGAAAAAGAAAAGAAAAAGAGAGAGAGAGAGAGAGAGAGAGAGAGAGAGAGAGAGAGAGAGAGAGAGAAGGCTAAAATTAAGGCCTAATAAGTAAACTACCACATTTTGGGGGTAGGGGAGCTCTTCTTTGGACGTGAAGGATATTTGCAGTGAGGGCCTGGCATGGATCTCCTCATTTAATTCCCTCAATAGCTCTAAGTGGACCCCGGGCTCCAGAGAGGTTTAGTCATTTTACCACTATCCCTCAGCTTACAAGTGTGGAGCCAAGACTCACAGGGGCAGAGGTGGGGGGCGCCCAGGGGCTTCAAGCCTCTCCTCCCCTGGGCTGGAGGGCTGACAATTTAGGCTGCTGTTCCCAAAGTTGCCTGCTGGGGGCGCTTGTTAAATAGCTCTATTTTGGGGCCTCAGCCCCGACCCACTGGATAAGGGCTGTATTCGTTCCCCAGGTGTGCATAGAACGTTTACCGTGTGCCCAGTGCTGAGCGAGAAAGAACAAGCGAGGTAGAAGACGCCCACCCGCAGGGAGCAGCATCCTGGAGGGGCCCTGGGAACCGGGTGGGAGCCGGGGCGTTTGCGGTGAGGCCAGTGCTTGCGGGATGCAGTGGGGGGCTCCGGGAACCGCCCCCGCCACCACGGGCACGGCCTCGAGGGGCCCGGCGGCACCTCCCAGCCCTGCGGTGGCCGCCGCAAGGACCAGGGCGGATGGCCGCGGAGCTTCCTGCCCTGCCGAGTCATCCAGGTGCCTGCCGCTTGGGCCAGGCGGGACCAGGGGTCAGGAAGGTCCCCGCTGTCCCACCCAGAGCACACAGCAGCTGTTACGTGCGGCCCGAGGGCAGGGCGCAAGTTCTGGGTGTGCTGAAAACAGCGCCCGGCTCAGCTCCGGTGCGGGCCCTGCTCCACCGCCGGAGCAGGGAGTAGGGAGCCGTGGGGTCCGCACTTGCAGGGGCCTGGGGGCCAGCCGGGGGCTCCTCGGGCTCCTGGGGCGCAGGCTGCGGGAGCTGGAGGGAGGGCTGCGCCGCTCCTGGGTCTCCGCCCGCGCGGGAGCCTCGCTTTCCCCACCTGTGAAATGGGCGCACGCAGCCCCAGCCCAGCGCCAGACCGGGAGGTGACGTGGGCGTGCCAGGGGAAGACAAAAGGCGACCGGCGAGCTAGCGAAGCGGGAAGCGCGGCCGGGGCGGGGCGGGCCGGGGCGGGCCGGGGGAGGAGCCGGGCCTGCGGGCCGCGGAGCCCGAGTGGCAGTGGCCGTGCGCCCGGAGGCAGCGGCGGCGGCGCGGCGGCGACAGTAAGTGCGGGCTCTCCGGGCTCCGGCTGCCCCCTGCGCTCGGCTCCCAGCGGCTCCTTCCCGGGCCCCTCGGGGCTTCCGCGGGAGCCGCGCGGCCCCAGTCCCTCCGGAGTGGCGCCTCTCGCTGTGTCCCTCCCCAGCGTCCCTCCTCTCCTTCCTTGCTCTCTACCCCTGCTGGGTCTTCACCTCTCCCCCAGATTTTCTCCCCTCCTCCCCGAGACTGGACCTCACCGCCTGGATGTGCCGGCCTGAGTACGGACAAGTCAGCCCAGAGTGTCCGGAGGGTGGCTGACTCAGTTGGTCCACACTGGGGAGCCTGAGGCTGGGGGTGCCTGTGGCCTCTGGGTGATGCCCAGTGCTTCCCAGCCGTGCTTTCCGTAGGTTAGCTTCACCGGCCCCCTACCCCCGTTTCACAGATGGGGAAATCGAGGCACAAAGTGGCGATTGACTTGGCCAGAGTCAGAAACCTCTTGGAACCAGCACCCAGCCTTCCCCCCCCAGGTGGTGTTTTGCGGTGGCCTCAGATCCGCCTAGTTTCCGTCTCTTTCTGCTGGGGCTGCCCCTAGCTCCCTGTCACCCAGGGAGGGAGCTGGGCGGGGGAACACACGCCAGGCCACAGCCAGCTGTCTTGGGGAAGCTTGAGCTCTTCCTTGCCTTTCTTTTTTAATCCAAAATCCAGCCGCTAGCTTTTATAAAGACTAATAAGACTTTGCTCACTCCAGTGCCCTGGCCTGTGACCCGGGTTAGAGAAAAATCCTGGCTCCTTCTTCTGAAGCTCAGTCAAGGCTGAATGGTCCTCAACAAATAGATGCCAAGAGCTGAGAAGGGGCGCTGGCCACGCGTGGTCCCGAGTGACCGAGGGGTTGGCCCTGCACCCACCCGGTAGCTGGCGCCTCTGGGAAGAACCGCTTGCCAGTTCTCCGCTGTCCTGTATGGCTCTTAATTATTTTTTACATTTTAGATGCTAATTTTAAAAATGGGTGTGTGCGTGTCTGGTTAGCTTGTGAGCGCCGGTCTCAGCGTGGATGGAGGCCGGGAAGTGGGTTTAACATAGACTTGCTGACTGGGTGCTCTGGGCTCGGGCATCCGGCAGCCTCCCTCCCGCGTGCTGGCTCCCGGGTACGCGCCACCCTGGTGGGTAGGATGTCCTGGTCGTACAGAGTCCACTTGTCCAGCAAACATTGACAGGGGCCCCTACACTGCTGCCTTTGCCTCTGCCCGCGGCTCACTGGCTTCGAGGAAGGGCGTCTGTTTCTGGAACCACCAGGCACGGGCTCACATTCCCAGCCCGTCCCTCCCAGGGCCCCAGACTGCTCAGCTGTGTAATTTCACTCCTGCTATCTGGTAGCTCTGTGGCCTTGGGCAAGTCGCCCGACCTTTCTGAACCTCAGACCCCCTCATCTTGAAATGGGTCGAAGAGTAGTACCTAACGTATCTGGTTGTCAGGCTCAAATCCTCGACCTATGCCAAGCACAGACCTTGGCGTGTGTGAGTACCGGACTTAATTTTAGATATTGGGGAATTCTCTCTGTTTGAATGTAGGGCAAAGCAAGCCCTCAGTTTTTCCATCTGAAAAAAGGGGCCAGTAATTTCTGCCCTGTCTAATGCCAAGGGATGCTATCAGGTTCTCCTGAGATAGCAGATAAGGTTCTGCACCCGTATGAGGGTGTGTTCCCATCCTATCAGGAAGAAAGGCTCCGCTGTTGAGCAAGGCTCGGCCGCCTATAGGAGCCAGGATGTGTTAATTTGTTGATTTATTGGGTAGGGAGGAAGCTACTGCGGAAGGGACTCCAGAGCATCCCACCCTCAGCATTATGGAAATAGTTCCCATTTATCAAGCTGCTGCCATACCCTAGGTGCTACCTGGAGCATGGAAGTAGGCATGCTACCTCGCAGCCAAATTCAGCAGTCAGCCAGCCAGGTGACAAGCCCAGGATGCCGGGGAAGATGCTGACGTTTGTTCAACAGCTGCTACCACGTCAGGCATTGCCAGCCAGTGCCGTTGCATAACCATGGTCAAAGAGGCTTCCCCAGGTTTCCAAATGGGGAAATTGAGGCTGAGAAGCCTGGTAAGTTTGCCCAAGGCCATGTAGGCAATGGGTGCTGGCTGCCCAGAGTCCTCAGTTTGTCTTAGGTGCCACCACGGATGGGGAGTGGCCGTCTCCTGGTGGGCCCCAGGTAGGATCTGCAAACCCAGGCTAGGCTGTTTACCTAGCCCGTGCCTTTCCGCCCTTTGGACCTCTCTTTCCCCACAAATGAAACAAGGGAATGGACAAAAGAGGTCCCACGCTGGGTTTGGAGACAACTCTAGACACCATCAGCTTTTTAAAAATTATTATTTAATTTGGATGCCTTTGTTTTTATTTATAATTTTAATTATCTTTGAACAGGCAATAAATTCACATGGCTCAAAATTCAGAAGGCACAGATGAGAATGTAGTGAGGTGCCCCCTCCCAGGCTCCCTCCCCAGAGGCAACCACTGTTAGAAATTTCTTGTGTTTCCTTCCAGAGCTGTTCTGTGCACATACAGATACACATGTGTGTGTAGATTCTCCCCTCCCCACTTTTATTATGTAAATAGTAGCATATTCTACACACTATCCTGCTCCTTACTTTTTTTTTTTTACATAAAGTTGCAAAGAGCTTGGAGGTCATTCTTGGCCCATCAAAAGTCCTCATTCCTTTTCCTGTGGCTGCACAGAAATCGGAACGCCTTTAGACCACGTCTGCCTTCCCAGATCGCCTGCCGCAGGCCCCACTGTGGCACAGTGTTTTACACCCAGCCTGTTCCACACTTTTATGCTGCCTCCATTGCTATTTCCTTGTTTGGGTGACCTCTGGGTCACTTAGAGTTCTGACATCCTGTCCTCATTTTTTGTCTTTCTCCCTGATCCTTAAAAATGATGCTCTCCAACCAGTCTTTGGTGACTTTGTGGACCCCAGGGTGTAGAGGTATAGTCATTTTGTAGGATAGGTGAGTCCCCAGCCTCAGTTTCAGCTCACCTGCCCTGTTTCTGTTTCCCTCCCTGCTCCCACAGTGGCCATTGTCCCCGAGGATGACTGTCATCCCGGTTCAAACCCCGCCGACAGAAGCGCAAGCAGCTCTCTCCAAGCTGAGCAGGAGGACCTGCTCGAGCGGCAGCGGGACTGCCTGTCCCCTGGCCTGCAGAGGCCCGAGGACCGCTTCAACGCCACCTACATCATCTTCTTCAGCCTGGGCGTTGGCAGCCTAATGCCGTGGAGCTTCTTCATCACTGCCAAGGAGTACTGGATGTTCAAACTCGGCAACGCCTCCAGCCCAGCCACAGGGGAGGACTCCGCGGGCTCGGACATCCTGGTAAGGGCGTGTTTCTCCCCTCGAAGCAAGTGGGAGCAAGCCGCGCGGGTGGGCTGCACGCGGGTGCACCGTCCCAGGGAGGTTTGCAGCGCGCCGAGAATGTGGTGTGGATTAGGCAGCCGTGCGTGCGGAGAGCAGTAGAAAGAACTCCATTCAGTCCTAAGTGCTCTGCGTTGCGTGGGAGGCCCCCGCCTCACGTGCCAGGGGAGGAGGGAGGCGGCCGAGTCACAATCCCAGCCTTCACGGTGCTTACTATTTAACATGGGAAGAAGACACAGATGATGGTTCTGTGCAGTGTAGTGTGCAGCAAACTCAGGAATCCAGAGTCCACGCCTCCCAGGGTTTGAAGGTGTGGGTTTAATGATATTAAGTTCACCTGTCAGTTACAGAAAAATTCTAAAAGAGTAGTAGCTGAAACAAGGTGGAAGGTCATTTTTCTCCCTCATTTAAGTCCTGTAGGGCCTGCCCAGGGCTGGTATAATGTTCTATGGTGTCAGGATCCCAGTTGTTTCCCCACACATAGCTTTCATGTCCAAGGCCACCTCACGGTCCAAGATAGCTGTTGGAGCTCCAGCCATTACATCAGAAGGAAGAAGAGAGGAAGGAAAAGCCTGTCACCTAAGAACACTCTGCTTGCATTTCATTGGTCAGAACTCAGTCATGTGACCACTTCAGCGGCAAAGGAGGCTGGGAAATGGGGTCTTTTCGATGTAGTTTTCTCCCAGAGAACCACATGCCGGCTAAAATGCGAGGTTCTGCGGTGATGGCAGACTGGGGAACATAAATTCTTGGGGATAAGTAGTGTGGTCACCAGGGGAGAAGTTGCTGTGACTCAAAGTGGGTAGATTTGCAGAATGTGGAGGAGACATTGCAGTTAGAAGAAAAAGGCTGGGCAAAGGCAGAATGGGAGGGAAGTTCAGGTGTGCGTGTGGCACAGCGAAGCCTCTGGTTTTGCTGCGTGTGAGGCACAGGTAAGAGAGAAGTAAGGCTCGAGATCGTAGCCGGGCCCTGAAGCTGTTGCCTGGGCCTTGAATGTCAGGGTGAGCAGCCTGAGCTGGTGTGTGGTTGACGGCTGTTTGCTCTCTTTGCCATGTGACTTCTCCAAGGCGGGGGTGGTGGGGGAAGAGTGTTAAAGAGAACATTATTCTGACACTTGCTAAAACAGCAAGGGGAAAACAGTATTTGAGAGACATTGTAGTAGGGGAAGGAGATGTGGGGATTTACAGCCAAGAAGCAGGGTGGGGGTCCGTGGAGGGAAATTAGTAAGAGTCTAAGCACAGGGGTGGGGGTTATTGCTGAACTGGCCTAACAGGATTCTTGCTGAAATCGGGCCAAGGAATTACACATTTGACTCTTAAACAACGTGGGTTGGTGCAGATTCACTTATATGCGGATGTTTTCAACAAAGGAGGATTGCAAATACAGTATTGGAGGGATGCAAAGCCTGCGCATATGGAGGGCCGACTTTTCCTGTATGTAGGTTCTTTGGGGCCCACTGCGGGACCTGAGTATGCTCCGATTTCGGTATATGCGGGGGGTCCTGGAACCAGTCCCCCATGCAAAGGTGGGGGACAGGGAGCTTGATCAGATGTCAAGGGCAGGGGATTCTGGCTAATCTGACTTAGCAGGATTCTTTGCTAAGACTGGGTTGGGCAGGCTGCAGGGTGGGCCTGGGAGGGGTCGGGGCCAAGGTCAAGGCCCTCTTGAGAAGAGGGCTCAGAGGAGCCTGACTGAAGTTTTGTTCAAGGAGAGTCTTTGTCAGGAGCCTCAGTGTCTGCAGCTGCCCCAGGTTGGGGTGTTGCCCGCCCCCAGGCTGTGCCCCTCCTCTCCAGGGTGCCTCAGGGACAAGAAGCGAGTATGCTACCCCTCAGGAGGCCCAGGAGGGGGCTCACCACTCCTTCTCTGGAAACCGTCTTGGAAATCCCTGGCCTAACCCTGGGGACCTTTGCTCAGTTTTGTGGGTATGAATCAGAGACACCGGATGAGGCATCTCTATTGTCTGTGTCAAGGACTCTGTGTGGCTACATCTGAACCACCCGGGGAGCTTCTTACAAAATACCAATCCAGGCTGGGCGTGGTGGCTCACCCCTGTAATCCCAGCACTTTGGGAGGCCGAGGTAGGAGGATCGCTAAAGCCCAGGAGTTGGAGGCTGCAGTGAGCTGTGATCGGGTGACTGCACTCCAGCCTGGGTGACAGAGCAAAATCCTGTCTCTAAAAAAAATTAAATATGCCATTCCAGGCCACACCCCAAGGATTCTGATTGAATTAGTCTGAAGGGGGTGGAAGCATTGGTGTTTTTGAACCTCGTGAGGGCCTTCTGGAGGAAGGCGTGGATGCCTCCAGGGGCTGGAGCAGTGGGGTACATGCAAACTGAAGAAGTACCCTAGCTGAAGAAGTACCATAGGAATGTGGTACAGCAGCTGAGAGCCTTGCTACTCAAGGTGTGGTCCTTGGACCAGTGGCACCCCCTGGGACCTGCTGGTGACGTCAGGATCTGCGTGTTTCCAAGACACTCAGGTGTCTGGCAGGCACGGTCGAGTTTGGGCAGCACTGGCCAGGCTTGGCTCATGGCTCTTAGCTCCATGGCCTCCATGCCGCCTCACTTTCCTGGCATGTAAAAAAAAAGGAGCCTCTTGCTACCACCAACCTCTGAAGGTTGTTTAGAGGATTAAGTAAATTAACGTGTGTCAGAAGTACTTAGGGACAGGGTCTGGCACCACCGTCCAGGGTGGTCTGCAAACTATTATGGTAATTATCCTCTGAGGGATGGGGCCCAGCTCCTAAGCGCATGCGGACCTGTGTATTTCTGATTTCTGGAGGCGCTGGCTCAGCCGGGGTGCTTTATGATCCACTTTTATGTACCAGTGACTCAGGCGTCCCAGCTTTCTGCCGGCCTCTATAAATCACCCAGCCCATTGGGCCTCCTCCAGAAGATCCCTGCCTGTCTCGGCCAGCGTGTGTGCACCTGTCCGCCTCCTCTGTCCACCGCCTGGGCCCGGGGGCAGGCTGCCGCGGGAGGGAGGGGAGCCCAGGCCGGTGTCTGGGAGCCCCGAGCTGCCCCCACCGCAAGGCCGTCCCTTCCCAGCTGCAAGCGCCGAGCGTTACGGCCCTGCTGCAATGCTTTATCGCTTCTCCGAGTGCTGGCAGGTGCGGATGTAGTACCTGCGCCTGCCCGGAGCTCCTGGCTCTTGGCATCCGAGATGAGAGACCTGTCACCCCTCGATTCATGGGCTGGGTTTGGGAAGCAAGCATGCTGGGGCGTTTCTGCATTTTGCGGGCCGTTTTTCTTTGCCTCATTCCTGCAGCCCGCCTCCCCAGCTCTTCCCCCCTTCTTCTGGCTTCCCCGAGAGAGAGGCAGAGAGGCGCTGGTCTGCCTGTCACCTGAGGGCAGCTTGGGGGGAAGGAGGGGAAGAGTCGGATGGGGCTGGCTCCATGTCTACCCGCAACTCAATTAGCTGTGGGTCTGGATGTTTAGTTTTTTTCTGTTCTTTCCTTTCAATGTTTTCCAGGGGTGGATACCATTTGATGGGGAGTCTGACCCAGTGGGAATGTTTACCTAGACCCCCTCCCCCCAAATCATATCACTTTCAAGGTCATCAGGCTCATTCCCTTCTGTCTGGACACATTTGGGGATGGTTTGGAAAGCGTCCTGCCCGCCGTGCCCTCTCGTCTCCGTTCTCTGGAATAGGAGCCTTAAATAAAGCCACCACAGGTCTGTTGGCCCAGGGCCAAAAATGTAGAGCAGGAACGGGGAAGAGTTGACGTGAAAAGATGGCGCAGGGGAGCCACAGCGGCCGCCAGTTCCTGAGCTGACTCCGAGCCCGCCAGGCTGGCGGGATGGTGCTGACACACTGTCTCTCATTAACCTTGCAAGGCAGGTCTTAGTAACCCTTTTCTTTAGTCAGAAAGCCAGAGGCTGGGAGGGAAGGGGGGAAAGGAAACACACTGTAACCTAAACATTTGTACCCACATAATATGCTGAAATAAATAATAAAAAAAAAAGCTAGAGGCCCAGAGAGGTTAAGTAACCTGCCCCAAATCACACAGCGGGGAAGGGCTAGAGAGTATTTCACGGGGCATTGAGGCGGATAGATGGTTACTGATTACAAAATTGGAAACATACTCAGAGTGGTGTGTAGGGGACTGTCCTGAAGATAGGGCCGCCCCACATCCTGACTCCACAAACACCAGCTTCCTTCCTATGCAGAGCCTGCCCTTAGTCTGGCCTCCTTTTCTAGCCTGAAACCCCGGGCGCTGGCTGCGGGGCAGATGCTGCTCTCGGCACTTTGCTGGCATTACCCCATTTAGCCCCACAGCCCCCCATAAGGCAGGAACTGTTACCATCCATCAGGACAGATGAGGGTGCCCCCACTGGTGACTGTAGCTCTCTTACCGTATGTCCCCAGATGTGTCCCCAGAGCGTAGTAGCACACAGTAAATATTTCTTGCATTAGTAATCGCATGGCTCCACACCCCAATAGAAGATGGTGATGGCGTGGCTCTGCAATAGAACAGAAGAAGATCTAGGGGTCACAGTGGCTACCATGAAAGGAGTTCTGCTCTTTCAGGTGGCCCGGCACAGGTATGAAGTGAGGTTCCTGCCGCAGGGAAGGAAGCCAGGTTAGCCTGGTTCAGCAGGTGGGTGGCCTGGGCATCCACTCCCCTAAGTGACAACCCCTTGGTCCTGGCCCAATCCCTCAGCCCTACCCCAGAGAAGCAGGGTAGCATAACTGGGAGCTGTCCTTACGACTCGGGGCAGGCATCCCAATCCAGAGAGGAAGGTTAAAAGGAACGAGGAAGAAATAGTTTGAAGAGGAGGAAACTAGAAGACAGGTTATCGGATGTAACCTGCTGGCTTTACCAAATCCCTGCCATGTGGCCCAAAGCCACCCACCACTTGACCCACCATTTTCCTTCATCCACGGGATGTCCTCGTGAGTTAAGTACTGTCGCCCCCTGTTTCCAAATGGGGAAACTGAGGCTTGTGGGGTTTAGGCCA